AGAGAGAGACAGAGAGACAGACAGAGAGACAGAGAGAGAGAGAGAGAGAATCAAATAACTAACGTATCATGTGACATTAACATGCCCAGTTGTGTCTGGGGTCAACTGGAGAGATTCAGTATGGTCTGAATGTTGGGTATTAGATTTAGGATGCATCTTGGGGGTATGTTTACTCAAGGTAAAAAAAAAAAAAAAACACTTTGTTTTTAGGGGCTACATATCTAAACACCCTTAGTCAATAATGCAACTAAGTTAGGTACTCTTCAAATGGCATAATAGAGAGCAAATCTAGCCGATTGTTAACCACTGGAGTACCAGTGAAAAACGAGTATTGCCTGCACATGTTTCTTGTCCTTTCAAGATTAGTAAGTCTGAAGGTTTCAAGGCAAAGAGTTGGAGGGAGGGATCGGGCACCACACATGACTCCGACCTTCAACCCCACTGATGACTACAAACGCTAACCAGAGAATCCCTTCCTTCCCAGAGCCTTGCCAGAGCGTTCACCTCCACACAAGCAGTGGAGTCAAACATTAGTAAGAACCTGGCCTGGAAACAAGAACTGCTGAACGAAGATATTGTCAGAGTTAGTTCACTGGACTGGCCTGTCCACTGGCCCTTTGGAACAGTAATGGCTGAGGCTAAATTACGCATAACAGAATGTTGAATACTTTTCTATTTACAGTCATGTCCTATGCCTATTAGATTTAAATCATCCATTGCTGGAAGGCAGGCATCATGATGGCTTCGGTATTGTTTACCCATATAATACTTAGCTCAGCATCATCGTTAAAGGTCAATCTTTAATGTTGATAGGTGACTGTATTAAACTAGAAAACAAGCCCTTCTCCATCTTCTCTCCTTTCCTTGTCCTTCAGGCACTAACTTATTCGCCTCTAGGCAAAGAAGCAAGAGCTTTCCTGCACTCTGCTTTCAAGAGGTCATTAGATGAAAAGCAGATGAGCTACAAAGTCTGCATGGCATTTACTTACCTTGGCTCCAGTTTTAGACATTGTAAGTGCAGAGGTTGAGTCCACACTACAGAAAGAAATCCACCGTAGCTCCAGAGCTACAGACACAGGGACATTTATACCAGGCTGGTTTCACATTAAACATTTGCTTAGTCATGAGAATTGGATCCAAAATTTGAGTCAGTCATTTATAGTCTATTGATGTTTGCTAGAAAAGCAATTGGGATTATGAAATAAAGGAAGGCTTCATTGCCCATCTAATGCTCACCCACCCGGCTGCATTGTAGACTTTGCTGAATCAAGGCACCAAAACCCAGCCAAAGTTTGAAAAATTCAAAACAAGGTTTTCTCTGTGCAGTTGGTTGTTTTTTGTTGTTGTTGTTTTTTTTTTTTTCTTTAGCCAGTGACCTGTTGGACATTCCCAATGTCCGTTTATTCTTTAACAGAGTATACAGGATAATCCAAAGATGACCTTCCAATTCAGGGAAAGTGAGGTTTGAAGGGCAAACAATCTTGCACCTACAAGTCATGAATGCTCTTGACTTTGGGGGGCTGGGAGTCACTACAAAAAAAGCATTGGCAATCTAAAAGCTTTTAATATGGACCATATGTTAGATATACCAATGTTTGGCTCTTGAATTTGATTACTGCCCTATAACTAGGTAGGAGAATGTCTTTGATTTTGGTAAATGTATGCTAATGTGTTTGGAGTAAAATGATGTCTGCAATCTACTCACAGGCTTTAAAATTAATGAGAATAGACTAGTCTATGTGGCAAAATGTTAACATTTGGGTACTCTAGTCAATGAGTACATAGGTGTCCAGTGACCGGTTTTGTTTTGTTTTGAAGAGTCTTACTATGTTATTTATCTCTGGCTGGCCTGGAATTCACTGTATAGTGGAGGCTAGCTTCAAGGTCATGGCAATCCTCCTGTTTCCCAAGTTCAGGAATTACAGTTTGCCACTCCAAGGTCAGATCACCTATTTTTGCAAATGTCATTTGAATTTGATTTTTTTTTTCCCCAGACACAAATTAGAAAGAGCTGTGACTCACAAGGGAGTGTCAAGTACATAGGGACTGAAAGCTGCCTTGAGACTCCAAACTTTCTAAGCTAGGTGATGTACCCTTTACACTGGTATCTCCCTCTAACTTTAAGAATAGAACTAATACTTTATACAACCTCAGACAAACAATATGCCAACCCTTCTCCCTTTGATTTTCCTAGCTCAACAGTCTTCTTCCGAGCCCAATTTCACATTTCTACCTTTCTACTAATAAATATCCAACAAACACCTTTATAAATCAGATACCCACTAGAGTGTTCAATTTAAAAAGGCAAATGTGGGGTGGAGTGACTCACACCTGCAGCTCGAGGGACCTGATTCGTCTGGCCTCTTCCTGCACTCACACATACATATACACATTGATAATACTAAATCTTTAAATAATAAATAATAAATCTTTAAAAACATGCAAATGTGCCTTGATATGTGGATTACCGAGAAGCAAATAACAAACCACAGAATGTATCTGCTTCGTCAATTTTATATATTTTAAAGGATTGGACTGATTCACAGAATCCAGCAGTGTCACCCCAATGGTCCTTCATTTGGTCATTTTTTGCTTACTTGAATTTCATGTTAACGTAAAAGTTAACGTATAAAGGCTTCAAAGACTTATCGAGCATTAAGAGAGCTAATTTTACTTGAGAACTGTAAGAATGACTCTGTGGTGGTAACTATTAACTAAGTAACCTGTTAGTGATTAGAATCATTTCACTCATGTGTCTTAAAGAACAGGGCTTCCCAGTCACATGCCGACTCAACTTTGTAACAGATTAACAACAAAAACCTTTTATTAAAATTAAAGTAAGACCTGAAAGCTGCCTTGAGACTCCAAACTTTCTAAGCTAGGTGATGTACAAAAGGAGAAAACTGTGTTTTAGTTTGTTTATTGAAATCTGAAGCAGAAAATAAAAAATAAAAAAATTTACACAATTTCATTTGTGTTTTATACTTTAAGGCCTAAAATACCTTTTTATAAAACTATCTCTGCTATATTTATGCACAAACTGACCATACTGTCACTCTTTTTAAAAAGGAGCAGCAATTTCCTTTAAATAGTTACAAAGAACCATACAACTCTTGTTTTGTTTTGTTTTTTGAGACACCATGTAGACCAGGCTGGCCTGGAACTCACAGAGATCTGCCTGACTGTGCCTCCTGAGTGCTGTGATCAGGCATGTGCCACCACACCTGGCTAACTTTTCCAGCTAGGACAAACCCTTTCATCACACAAACTAAAATATGAAGTCTACAGCTTGTGAGCCTGTAGTTGGTCACTTAGACACTAACACTTACAGAAATCTGCCTTGCCGGGTGTTCCATTTTGCATGACACATATGAATCTTATAACCTTCATAATCTTATAACCTTTCATAATAAGGTTAAGATGTTTCTATGAAAGTCAGAAGCTAAAGTTCAACCTAAGTGAGTGAAGAACAGGAACCAACAAAAGGAGTTAAACAGGTGGAAAGGCCTGAGGTCTCACAGGCAGCAAGGGTGCCTTTCCAAAGCAGTCTTCAGTGGGCACCGTCCTCCTCTATTCCTCATGTTTCCAGAGCCCTGCAGATGAGCAAAGAGAATTTAACCTATACAAATTAATTTTCACACCCCATGCAAATATGAAAACCACTTTCATTTATAAACTCATATAAATTATGGAGACCAGGTCAATTTAGAGTTATACAATAACCTTTGCATTCCTTTTTTGGTGTTAGTTATTATATAACAGAAAGAAATTATTATGAATTCAAAATTGGCAGGCTGGAGGTAAACATAGGGTAAAAATCCCTATGCCTTACAGTTCCAACTGGAGACTAAGAGAACATCAATACCTACCCCTTACAGTTCCTTTTCTTTGTACAATCTCCACATTTCCAATCCCAACCCAGCATTTATTAACTACATATTGTGAAATTATGTTTCTTTTTTTTTAAGGATTTTATTTATTTATTATGTATACAACATTCTGCTTCCATATATATCTGCACATCAGAAGAGGGCACCAAATATTACAGATAGTTGTGAGCCACCATGTGGTTGCTGGGAATTGAACTCAGGACCTCTGGAAGAGCAATCGGTGCTCTTAACCTCTGAGCCATCTCTCCAGCCCTTAAAATCATGTTTCTTAAGAAATACAATCCCAGCTGGATGTTGGTGGCACACGCCTTTAATCCCAGAACTCGGGAGCAGAGGCAGGCGGATCTCTGTGAGTTCAAGGCCAGCCTGGTCTCCAGAGGGGGCGCCAGGGCAGGCTCCACAGCCACCCAGCAGAAACCCTTCCACCAACAACAAAAAAAAAACCCTCTTTGGAAAAAAAAAAAAAAAAAAAAAAAAAAAAAAAAAAAAAAAATCCCAACACAGGAATATACTTTAGAAAGGCAATCATTTTTGTTTGCAACTTTGCTCTGGAAAACTGCAGTCCTCTAAAGAGATAAGCATATGTCTGTGCAGCTCACTCCTAGGTATAAATTGTGTGAGAGGAAAGAAAGCACACGCTTTGCAGAGCCCTGTTATAAACATGAAGCCGTGCAAAGTGGAACAAATGCGAAAGTCCACTGATGAACAATTGTAGTCCTCTCAATGGACTGCTCCTCTACTGTAAGATGGAACACTCCTGCTATGGCAGGGATGAACCTTGACAAGCTGACTGCTTCCTGCATAACAATGTCCAGAATAAACAAGGTAAATGCTTGTTTGCTGGGGCCTGGAACTAAGAGAAGCTGAGGTGGTTAATGGCATAGGAAATGACTACTAATGCGGGGAGAGTGCTTTAACTGGCTCCTGATACCACTGTAGGCCTAGAGGATGGGGCTGTACAAGTGGGCCCCACCCCTCTCTGTCCAAAACACTAGGCCCTGCCCCTCACCAGCCGAAGCTTGCAGGGGAGAGAGTCCATCATCTCATCTGGGCAGCACAACAGAGCTGATGCCATTCCCAGGGACATGGTTGGGCTGGCCCTGAGGGCGTGAAAATGGGAGGGCAGGTTGTGTCCCTCTCGTATGCCATGTGGTGGCATGGGTGAGGGAAAGAAGTCTTCCTCCTCTCTCCCCAGCCCTGCAGCAAGTGGGGGACCTGACCCAACTGCCTCCCATCCCAGCAGGCCCTATGCTCACTTGGGCAGAGTACAGAGTAGTAAAATTGACCCTGTAGATGGGCTAGGGTGAGTCAGCCCTGAGGGTGTGTGAGAGGCTTAGCTGGTATCGACTCCCTGAGATATGGATGGGAGCAAGGGAAACATACCCTCCCCCCTTGCCCCTCCAGCCTCCAGCTGGAGAGGAAGCTGACCCTCCCCTTTACCAGCTACAACATGGGAAAGTGAGCCAGCACCTCTTCTGGGCAGCACAGCAGAGCTGACCCTGTTTACCAGGTTGTGGGTGACCTGGCCCCAAGAATGTGAGCATAAGAGATCTGGCTCTGCCCCTCATCTGCCATAAGGCAGCATGGGTAGGGAAGAGATGTCCTCCCCAACCAGCCCTCTCTATGCCTGAGTGGGTGGGAGAGCTGTCTCTGCCCTCACCAGCTGCAGCACTCAGGAGAGTGGCCCCCACACCTCACCTGGGCAACAGAGTAGAGCTGGCCCTAATGGTCCAGGTGTGGGAGAGCCTACCCTGAGAACATGAAAGCAGGAGAAGGGCCACGCCCCTTGCTCACTGCTGCAAGGGGTGAACTAGCCGGGACAATGCTGGAGAGCTCACCCTGGTGGGGAGGATGGAGTGGGTGGAGCTGGTGGGCTGACTGACCCTGCAACTCTCCAGGCCCAGAACCAGCGCTATGCCTTGGTCCACCCCAACAACCACCCTACCTATGATTTGCTGGAGCACAAGAAGGGGCTGGTCCTGCAGACACAAAGCTGCAGGATCTTCATGCACAAGGCAACAACAGAATACCCAAGGAGTCCCAGTGAGGGTCCAGCATTGACAGTGTAGCAGAAACCAGAGGCCTCAAAACCAGACCAATGACTCTCTGCAATGAATACTTGCAAGCAAAGCTGTATGGACAAAAGGGTTTGCTGTATGACTCACTGTGTCACACTAAAACTTCTTTTTTTTTAAAAAAAATTATTTAGCCAGGCGTTGGTGGCACAGGCCTTTAATCCCAGCACTCGGGAGGCAGAGGCAGGTGGATCTCTGACACAGAGAAACCCTGTCTCGAAAAACCAAAAAAAAAGAAAGAAAGAAAGAAAGAAAGAAAGAAAGAAAGAAAGAAAGAAAGAAAGAAAGAAAGAAAGGGTTTCTCAGTGGCTTTGGAGGCTGTCCTGGAACTAGTTCTTGTAGACCAGGCTGGTCTCGAACTCATAGAGATCCACCTGCCTCTGCCTCCCGAGTGCTGGGATTAAAGGCGTACGCCACCAACGCCCGGCTTCTATCTATAGTCTTATCTACATATTTAATTCATGACTTCTAGTGTTCAGTAATAAAATATTTATTTGGATTAATTCTAACTAACCTATTAATAATGCTCTATGTGTGATTATTAAAGGCCAGTTTTATTAAACAGTTTGGGGAATATATGTTAGAGAGAAGAAATAGAACTCAATGCCTGGGCTTCCAGAGCCAGCTCAGCAGTTAAGAGCATACACTGCTTTCCCAGAGGACCTGAGTTCAACTTGCAAAACAAACCTCAGTCAGCTCACAACCACCTGTGACCGTGGCTCCATGGGATCTGACACCTTTGATCTTCTCTGGGCACCCTCACTCACCCACACACATACCCATACTTAAGAATAAAATAAATATTAAAAAACAAAAGGCAAAACAGAAAAATAATGCTATTAATGGAAAAAAATATATAACGGGGACTTTATATTTGCCCAAATTTCTCTAGGCACCACTTGAATATTTTTGTTTTCTCATCAAAAAATATGTGGGTATGTTTCTACATGTGGCTGGAGTGGAAGAGAACACCAGCAAGGAGAACACAATCTAAAGCCTCTTTTTTTCTGCTTTGCATGCGATGGAGGATTTCCCAAGTTCCTTAAGTGTTCTGTGTTCTAACTCCTTACCAGTGGTTTTGCACGGGTCCTATCCAGGCTCTTGTTTGGAAGCTGCTGCGTGTGGAACGAGGCTGTCCAGCTGTTGCCGATGTCCTGTATTGATCAACCATTCATAGAACTTGTTCTCTACGAGGACCTGGAACTGCTTCCTCTGCTCCCTGAAGATGTGATTGAGAGCAAAAGCATTTAAGAAGACAAACTCAACAGATTCATTCCCATGATTATCTAAGAGCTCAACGCTACTGAATGACTATTTCTTGTTATCCTTCAGTTCTCACTGAGCACAGCGAGAGAAAATGTCTGAAGGTTTGTTGTCAGACTCTTAACTGTGAACAAAATAAGTGAGGCAGTGGTCTGACTGATGAAATAAATTCATAAAGAAAAGAGACAGGCCTGCTGTCCAGGTTGGCACATTGTGATCTCGGTGTATGTGTCCTTGTCAACTGTATACTCTTGTAGGGAATATGGGGAAAAAGCAAGATAAATATACAGCATGACATTAAGTACTTATCAGGAAACTACTTATTGGAGAACAGGTGACAATGCAGTGTTACCCGGAGTGCTATTGTCTCTAATATGACACTGGAACAGAAGTCTACGTGAAATGACAGAAGCAGCAAAATGATTCTGTGGAAGAAGGCAGAAGAAACAGAAGTGACAAAGGCCCTAATGTGATAGCCTGATGTGGGTTAACAAAGAGAAGAGTAGCCCCACAGCTGGGGACAGCTCGCACATCAGCCTGGCTGTGATGTGCTTCTGCAAGACACAATTCCACAGGATACCAACAGCAGACAGGGCACGCTGGAATGACTACAGCCCAAAGCAAGAACAAGATACTCCACCACCCCAATCCCACAATCCCACTGCAGTCCAAAGGGAAAATAAATACGGTGCCACCATAAAAATGACTCCTCCTCTCTTGGACGAGTGACTGCTGCCACTTTATCCTTTTGGATCCACCTCATCCCAACTGTCTTACAGATAAAATCACTAGGCTGCAGCCACTTCCCCTTGCAGATGGCGTTCAACACACTTTCCACAAATCACACAATGCCAGCCAGGACTGCACTGGCAGTGTGTCTTCAATCTGATATCTGTCTTTCTGCTCAGAAGGTTCTTAACTCAAGGTTTACCCTAATGATTTAGCTTTATGTGTTTACTCAGCAGGAACTGTACTTCAAATGCACTCTCTCAGGCTAGTAATGTGCAATATGACACTGCTGTGTGGCGGCCATGAAGTGCAGCCCTGCAAACCAACCAGAGGTCGGGAGAGTGTGTGCTCTACACTGTGTATCAGTTCAGTAGCTTAGCAACAGTAAGTGAGCTCTTGGCTTACAAGTTTTGCTCTGGATGTAACTCTTGGGTAAGCCAAGGTGTATACCTTCATCTCCAAAGTTGCACTGGCTACTTTTTCACTGTTTCTAACACCACTATGAATTATATTATAGGTACTCCAGACTCCACAGATCTCCGTAAGCTTTTCACAGGTGTAAGAGAGTTCAGGCATTTAAATGGTAGCCATATTTAAAAGTTCTAAAGGGATTTTTTTCAATGAAGATGTTTTTATTACACTACAGTTTTATTATTGTACAATATGACATAATAATAACTGAAAGAATAGTAAAGACACTAGAGACACAAAACACCTCTAAAACAAGGCCAACAGTGTGGCCCCTGAATCCTTTGTGCCTGAGTAAGGTACCTAACCTTAGTTCTCCATCTACACTTGGGTATGGCTATTTAAAAAAAAAAAATCAGTGAGTTAGCATACAGCTGTTCACATCAGTGCTTGGAACATCCCGAGAACATCACCACCATTCCTGATATACTAGAATAGGTACTCTACTCAGAAAGTTCTCAGTACAATGCGATGACCAATCTGGTAACATGATCCATGTCAAGTAACTGCAGTATTATAACACAGATTCCCAGTTAAACCATAAGCTGTGGTTGCTGTTGATCATGCATATATGTATTGGGTATGTACACACACAAATGGGGTGGGGGGGGAATGGATTGAGACTTACAGGAAGATTTTTGAATCCTCTGCTTAAATGGAGAGAGAAAGAAAACACCCCCATCATGTTTTGGTACTGTAGTATTTCCTTTTATCCCCCCTCCCCTTCATTTCTAACAAGTAAAATTTGTCTACCAACACATTTGTAAAAATGATTACTTACTCTGAGCTTTTGGTAATTTTAAGTCATGTACAGTAGTCTTCTGAGAAGAAAAATTGATTAATAAAAACTTACTAAGCTGAGGCTCAATTTTTAGAATTATTTTTTAGTTTCTTCTCTTCACAAAATGACTCACTGAGCCCTGCCTCATGCCTGTTCTCCACCCTGGTTCTTTCCATTCTCACCACCGTCTCCTCTTTCAGTGCATGGCCTCTAGTCAGTAGCCTGTGCGGTGTGGGTGGGGGGCTGCAGGTGCTTCTGAGGAAATGAACTGCCTCTCTGGACTCCATTCCAAGCCTACATACAGCACATACCGAAAGGCTTCTACTTCTTAATTCTAATGGAATGTCCATGGCCTGATAGTCAGACGTGACCTAATCTGTCTCAGCTCACTTATCAAGTTTAAACACCACTGTTTCGAACCCAGAATCCCGCCTTAGCTTCTGCTCCTCAGACATCTGCTCCTCCAGTACTTCAGAGAGACTCAGACTAGCCCGCACTCCCCATACAAACTTTTCATTCTTCAGAACCCACTACAAATTCTATGTCCTTGACGTGCCTCCCTTAACTGGTCACACTGGTGTTGTCTGACTCTCTGAAAACTACATGCCATGGCCCTGGCTTCTGGAGTTCAAAGGCCAAAATCCCTTAAATAAAATCTGGGCATAACATTATATCTACAGCTATATCTGCTATCCCATGCATGTAATTAAAAATTAAGCTATTTCAGTGCTCCCTAAATAGAATGAAACACAGTTTTTTATACTGCAAATCTAGCTTTAAAAAATCAAAAACCACTTTAGTTATTTCTCCCATTTTAGCATGGATTAAGGAAAATTGACAAGAACTAGCAATAGTCCACGGGTCAGCCTTGGAAAGACACACTTCAAGAATGTGACTTGTTAAGTCTTTGGTGTGGTGGGAACCATGAAAATCTGTATTTTAAATAAGGTTCTTGGAGCCTTCTGATGCTATGTCATTTAAGACTGAGTCATGTACCATCTTCTCGACAAGAATGCTTCAATTCATGTAAATCTTACCCCTGCCAAATAAATGCAAGCTTATTTTTATTTTGAGGCAGAGTTTTATCAAGTAGAACCCACTAGCCTTGAATTTGTGATCCTCCTGCCTCAAGCTTTGAGATGCTGGGATTACAGACTTCTTCAAGGAAGGGAGCCTAATACCTCCAGTCATACAACGCCTAGAATACTAACCCGCTCTATCCCATCCTCCAGTAACACAGTACCTAGAATACTAATCTGGGATACAAGCTCTGAGAAAAGACATACATGTCATTTAATTAGTGTGGCTGGACACTATAAAGTATCCTGATTAATTTGTCTTCCCATCAGGTTTCACATGAACAGCAAACACTGTCTCTAGGAAACACTTACTTTGTCAGCCGAGCCTCCTTCACAGTTTTCTGCCAGATCTGTATCTTCCGCTCTCTTTGAGCCAGCACTTTCTGGTAAGCAGAGGGGAGACCCCCTGGTATCTCTGCTGTGTCCCCTTCCATCTCAAAGGGAATGATAAATATGTAGAATTCACAAGGTGGCAAGAGCCGGAAGACTCTTGTGTCACTGCTTTCTCTGCACACAACCATTGGGTTATCCCAGTAGTTAGGTACTGTAGCAAGGCCAGTCCTGGCCATATGGTCCTCCAGCATTGGGTAATGGGTATGAAATGGTGCAAAAGTTACACTCTGGTTCCCAGAGAGAATAAGTGGGCGTGAAGGTGTCATAACGTGAAAGGTGCAGTCTGTTGTAGAAGAGATGGACAATCGGTGGCAAACAGCAATGATTTTTAGATTTTCACAATCTTGGAGGTGAAGGGCCGTCTCCACAGGACCCAACACAAACGTGGTATTCCTGCATTTTTCAATTGTCACGGATCTGAAAATTTTTCAATGAGTTAAATTCTTCTGAATAAATTACCCAGAATAAAATTCTGACTTAAAAAATTAATCCTGTCCAAAATAATATCAACATGCTTACCGCAAGGGGGAGAGCAGATATATGAAAGACTCATTGCAGCGATGAACCCTGATGTGTGCTCCCACTAGAGTGTCTGAGCTCTTGGCCAGCGTCTGCTTGTAAACCTGGCTCATCACCACCATGCGGTGCATCTGAGGGGCCACATGAGTATTGCAAGCAATCTTAGCTCTTTTGGTTGCACCTTCAACTATTTAAGGAAACGCATAAATAATAAGATAGTTACAAATCATAGAAAAACACGTGACCATGAGATTATACATGTCTACATGTACCCAATCCTAAATTCAAATACATGTGAAGAAAATATATTAGATTTAAGAGTTAATGACAAAGTAGTGTTTACTGTTCTTTTCTATATATCTGTAATCTTTCAGAATAATTATTAAAAATGTAAACCTATAATACATTCAAGATTTCTGATAGAGCTAAGATGTGTTTTCTTGTTTACCTTTTAAATTATGTGCCTAAGGCCCTAAACTAGTGACAGGTCCAAACAGCTTTCCCTCCAAGATGCCTCATCGTGTCTTCCCAATCACAATAGAGTAATCACTATCATAATCAAACTGCCACAATATCAACTCTGCAGCCCTTCCAATGTACTGACAGCATCAGTCCACAAATTCTTCCTGAGTTCATGTCTTCACACCAAGATCATCACTACTCAGGAGCACATCTTCCCCTCACAGGGTCCCTTCCCACACCTCAGTATGAAACTTGCTTCTTTGCCTGTACTTCCCACAGCTATGAAGTCAACCTATACTGGGCCAATGTGGAAAGGATATACAAATATGCTAAAATTTGTTTAAAAGGCTTACTTTTTAATTTCAAATATGCCATATACATGATACATGGTTATGTAGAAAAATAGCAGTAAAAAAGTTTTTAAAATAGTTTGTTATCCTACTATCTCTGCTATCATTTTAATATACTCTTTGTTGTTGTTGCTGTGTTGTGTTCTTTTTTGAGACAGGGTTTCTCTGTGTAGCCCTGGCTGTCCTGGAACTCACTCTGTAGACCAGGCTGGCCTCGGGCTCACAGAAATCTACCTACCTCTGCCTCCTGAATGTTGGGATTAAAGGCGCGTGCCATCAGGCCCAGCTAGTGTATTTTTAAACATACATGGAAGCTTTTTGTGTACCTATCTTTGAAAGTATGAGACTGTGGAAATATAGCTTACTATATTCTTTTCTCAACAACTTGGCCTGGCACCTAGCTTCATACTACAAATATCTGCAGACTTGTTTTCCTGATTCTTCTCAAGAGTCCACAACACTAGAAACCTATCTGTTAGCCAGGGATAGACATTGACACAGCAAATGCTTGATTCTTGCTATCGTACAATTTCTTTTTAGAACTATATTACTAGCCTATGTCTATACAACTAAAAGCCCCCCCCCCCAATCAACTCTGAGGTGATATCTATTGGTTGGTCAAATTCTGCTGCTAAATAGAAAATAAAAAAGCCTCAAGTAAATAAACACCTGTCAGCAACGAAAAGAGAGAATCAAGGGAGGACGGACTATAGTTCTGTGACCTGTAATGAACACCCGAGTCAACTCTGAGAGTCCTGCTCCACTGTGCAAGTCATGTACAGAAGGTGGGTCTGCTTTTATACTGGAGTATTTTTTATTTACTTACTTAATCAGGTATTGCCCTTTATTTTTATTGTATGTGTATAGGTGTTTGGCCTGCATGTATGCTGTGTACCACATGCATAGAGAGCAGAGACAGGTCTCACCATGGACCCCAATTTAGCCTTATACTTGTGACTCTTCTGCCCTGTCTTCCAAATGCTAGATTACAGGTATGTGCCACTGCACCAGGCTAGCAGACATCTGGCCATTAATACACCAGAAAACAGTAGGTTTCCTTGTTGGTCAAGTTAATATTAGGTAAAATATATTTAAAAAAAAAATACCTTGGTGAGCCCAGGCCAATTTCTTTCCAGACTTGAGGCAAGCAGATGGGCCAAATGGATTTGCAGTCAAACAGGTTCGCAACCAGGCTTCCAGCTTGTAGAAAGAGAATGTCTTGGAGATCTTCGAAAAGCCACTGTCTGCATGCAGCGGTTGCCACATTGCAAGTTCATGAAGGGGATAGACCTTCCTGGTTCTGCTTACAGTGCCTTCGATGAGGAAGCTGAGCGCCAGGACAGCTTCTCGAGAGACTACACTACTGTGCGTTGAGTGGAAGGACGCAGTAAGTTGCTCTGGCTCTAGAAGCAGCTCAAGGAGATCCAACAGATGGTCACAGACAAAAGCCTGGTGACTGTAGTCATTCCAATTCTAAAACAAACAAAGAAAAACTGCTCAGATATTCTGTAAGATAAAAAATTATTTTAGCTTCCTTCCCTTTACGCTGACCCATCAGAGACCAGAGTCCTCATCCAGTGGCTGATGGAAGCAGAGACAGACATCCACAGAAATACACTGAGCTGAAATCTGGAACCTAGTTGAAGAGAGGGAGGAATGAAGAACGAAGGGGTCTGTACCAGGTTGGAGAAACCCACAGAAACAGTTGGCCTGAAAAAGGGAAAGCATATCGACCCAGACGCTCTTTGGGAGGCCAGTACGGGACTGATCCAGCCCCCTGATCATGGATGCCAATGGGGAGACCCCTGCACTCCTGGAAGCCTCCAGAGGTGGACTGGCGTTTTGCCCTGGTGTGTGTGGGGGACTTTGAGAGCCCATCCCACTTGAAGGGATG